AAGATTGCTTTATTCCCCCACATCCAATCATATAAAATATCATTTGACACATAAAAACTAGACTCTGACTCTGCTGGCATTTCCGAAGTCGAAGCTGAACATAGCAGATCTGCTCAACAAATTGTATTTGTTGTAAACATGTATACATATAAATATATATATTAAAATATGTTTTGTTTTTAAGTTACTTCTCCTTAGTGCTAGATTGAGACAAACTTTAATAAATCACAATGACATTAAGCATTCTTATGCGCAGCTTATGGTTAAAGCAGACTAATTCGAGAGATATTACAATTAGTATAACAATAATAATAATAACATATAAATTTTAAATTTTTTAAACAAAAATTAATAAAATTACACTGAATTTAAGCGTTTCCTTTTCTTGCGTTTCAGTGTAATTGTAGCCTTGTACTTGTGAATTAATTATCTTTATTCGGTAAAAGTCTAGTAAAAACAACAGCAACAGCAACAGCAATTGATGTTGCCCCAGTGACTTATGTTGCATAACTTTCAGGTGCTCCCATGGCTGCTGTCAATTTGAAAGCTGCTTGGAATCTGAGGACGGTTTCGGATGCGAGTTTAATGAAAAGTCCCACACAGCAGAGCAGAGCAAATCATTTAAAATTGTACAGACAACGCACACGTTAGATTACTCATCTCCATTACACACACACACACCTACACACACACACCTACACACACACACACAGACACACACACATTGATGGAAAACCAAAAGAAAATGTTGCTCGAATGAAGCGAGTAAAAATGCATCGTACGTGTAAATTTACCACAAGTAGTTGGCATAGTGACAACCAGCAATGGAAATGGGGGGATGGGGAGGGGGGGCTTGTAAGTGGCAAGCAAGGCGCGAGTGGCATCGATGATGGGCTGCCAGTGAGTCATACGCCCCGTCAGCCAAGAAAAAAATAAAATAAAATAAAAACTTGGCTCAAAGTTTTCAATGCGCTGCACAGCGAAAACAAAAGATTTTTATTGAATCCTTAAAAAAATCGCTGCAAGTAAACCTTACAAGACAAAACCACCGCCAGCAACGCAGCACTCAATCACCCTAGTGTACATGCCCCACATGCCACATGCCACATGCCCCACATTTTAGCCTCATGTTGTGTTGAGTGAAAAAGCCACGCAGCTGTCACGCTGCTGCCATGCTGCATTTGCCACACACACACACACATACACACACACAAACACACGCACAGGTGCTGCACGTTCACCAGCTGCAGCTTATGTTTTGTCTCCAGCTTCTGCTTCTGCTTCTGCTGCTGCTGCTGTTGCTGCGTGAGGGGATTTGGGGCAGATTTTGTCGTTGCTGCCGACGCCGCCTTTGCCGTTGCCGTTGCCAACACATCGCAAAAGTGCAATCAAAGTTTAGCGGATTTTGGCGCGTACAGTTTAAAGCTTGTAAAACGTAACCATAAATAAACGAGGCAATGCCAACTGGGTGTGCAGTTGTGGCTTTTCTCTTGCCACCAGCATTATGAAACGACAATGACGCAAGCAGCAAGCAGCAAGCGGCAAGCTGTGCGTTCTGCAGGTAAATAACACTTAGCGATAATGTCAGCTTCACAAAACTTAAGTTTCATTCAGCATCAAATGTCTTTCAACTGTCAAAATGGGCAATAAGCTGCCATTGCGAGTTGCACTAAACACTCTCCTCTCACTTTGAGTGCCACCCGAATGGGGCAAACGCAACACAAAGATTCACATTTACAATGTCATTTCTTACTTACAGCCAACAACATTTTACAAATCTTCCAAACATTGTCCTTTATAATCAATGTATATATACTTTAACTGCGTAAACATTTGTGCAAAACTAGCAGGTCTTTAATTTGCAACTTTCACAATTATTAATAGCTTTTGAAAATTACTATTGGTTGTGCTGAATATTTGGTAATAAGCTACTTATTATATATATATAATCACGTTTAATTATAGTCTTCAAGCAATCAAATTCAATTTTCACTTAATTTTCGTTTTAAACCCGATTAAAATAAATAATTGTCGTAAGCATGACTAAATAATATAAGCATCAATCAGCAGTCAACTCGTCAATTGCTCAATATGATGTATTTCGATAATCCCCACAAAATAATAGAGAATAATAGAGTAAATATATATATTTATATAAATATATTATTTATATTATCAAATGAAACTTCCAATATATTCGCTTTTAGGTTTCGGTAACTTATGTCCGGATCACTATATTATATAGCTGATAGAGAAACAATCGTTCAAAAGATTTATTATATTATATATATTATATATAGAATAATTAAATATTCGAGCGAAAGTTCCTCGTTTTTTCTGGTTACATTAGTCCTTTTCTATCATTAAAGGAGGACTGAATTGTGAAATCTGACAGATTTTAATCTGTCGATGTAAAGTTGAGCTTAGGGGGCGGCAGGTCCACACCCCCTGCCTCACCGTGGTGCTGCTCAGGTTTATATTTATCTATATTCAACTTATCCTACTGTTCTATAATTTATATGCAAACATATATTGACAATTCAGACAATTATCTCTTGCTTTCTGTCAAGAGCTGCAACTACCTCACCAGTCAATCGTCTCTCTCTCTCTCTCTCTCTCTCTCTCTCTCTCTCTCTCTCTGATTCCCTCTTTCATCCCCTCTATTGGCTGCCTGTCTACCTAGCTACTGGAAGTGCATTAATGGATTTATGTCTAGTGTCTTGTTGTTATTACGTAAATCCCAAACAAAAATCGTTGAAGTTGCCGGCAAACGCGTCGTTTGCATTTTGATTATGATTACGTTGCGGAAGACAACGATAGAGGAAAAAAGAGAGAGAGAGGGATGAGTGAAGGGGCAGCAACGGTCAGCAACGGTCACAATCATTGCCGTGTTGACCCAATAAGGCTAAAAGCCCGGTCTTGGTATTAGGCTAATTGTTGCCCCAAACGGCCAAACAGCATCTGCAAAGATGTCCCCAGCATTGGACAGCATCGGAACTAAATCTGAAGTGGACCATTGACGGTTTGACTGTTGGTCCTCGTCCTGGTTCTGGTTGCTTTCACTGGCGGCTGCTTGTGAATGGCAAGCAAAGTTTAATCAACGTTGGCCAATTCTTTTCTCTCTCAAGTTTTTCCTCATCATCTGATGCCGATGCTGCTGCATTCAAATTAATTCAGCAAATTCAATAAAAACGAGCATCACAACATGGCAAACAACTTGGCAGATGAAGCCCTCTCTCTCTCTCTCTCTCTCCCTCTCTCTCTCTCTCTCTCTCTCGATGCGACGGTCATGCAATCAAGGAGCGCACAAATAAATCACCCAGCTAAAAACTAAGCCAAAAGTAGAGGAGTGGGTGTGGTGCAAGGGGGTTGCTGGTGTTGGTTGGGTGTGGTGTGCTTGAATAGCGGCGACGCTGCACGGCCAAAATGTCAATGCAAATTTAATGGCTGACAATTTATATGCATGCCAAGTGACTTTTGGCCAACTACTGAACTTTTCGTGTTTGTATTTGTAGCTTTGTCAATATGTGTGTGTGTGTGTATGTGTGTGTGTGTGTGTGTGTGTGTGTGTGTGTGTGTGTGTGTGTGTGTGTGTGTGTGTTTGTGTGCTTATGTATATGTATATATGCAAAGGTTGCAACCATTGGGCTCTGAGCACACCGGCAAAAGTTCCAAGGTGCCAAGTGGCTGTCAAACTTTTGCCAGCAAATCGAATCGAGCCGAATGGAATGAAATGGAACGGAATAGTTCGCCTGCTCCTCCCCCTGCTCTCCCTTCTTCGTCCTTCGTGTTGTCGCTATTGCCGTGACACATAAATTAAAGCAACGCATTGCCCGGGACGAGCTCGGACGGGCCCCGCGCACCGACCCAGACCCGCAATCGAAGCCGTCCTCGCTGCCTTGGTGTGTGCATGTTAACATTAACGGGTTATTTACGCCATGCTCAACATTTAAAATGCATTTCCTGTCGCACTTTCCGCCACTCACACTCCGGCACTTTGGTGGCCAGTGCCGGGCCCGGCTCTGTTTGTCCGGAGACTGAAAGGTAAATGGCTTTAAAGCATGTATTTATAACGGCCCACAAGAGCTTTATAGTCGGCCGTCCAACAATACATAGGGCATTATAAATATCAAAACCGCTGACGACAGCGCTGAAAATTCAACTTATAAATACTTCACACACACATGCACATGCATAAAGTTTGACAAGAAAAGAATTGTTGCTTTGAGGTGTTGCGGAAAGTTGTGAAAACTTGTGTTGAAAATCTTTGACACGCGATGTAAATAAACAAATATATGATTCCGTACTATTTGCAACTATCTCAATCAGCGCAGAACAGCTGTCATCAGGCTGTCATTTTTTTTTTAACTATTTAAATTTATTTATACATATTTTAAATTTTGAATACTTTCTCATATTATTTTGTATAAGTAAGTTGCATTGGAATGAACTCAAAAATTAATTTCATCAGTGCTATCAATTCTGCCTTTTTAGAATTGCGTAGTTAATTAAATAAACGCATTGATTACCACATTAATATAAACTAAATTTAGGATTTCAGAACATTAAGAACCCAGCGGCATTCCGTAGATCTAGTGACTCTGCCTTAATTTCTTCTTTATTTCCGTTGCATTCTTTTAAACAAAGATATTTTAAATAAACGCTTTTAGCCGTGAACTAATTACAATTGATTAACTTCACTGGTGAGTAAGTAAGATCAGACTACAATGTTGCTCCACAGTACATGCTCTGTTTAGTTGATCTCTCGCAGAAGAGAAAAACTCTTTGGTAATGCGCACGTAACATAAGTCGGCAACACAAAGAAACAGTGGCAAGAGCAGCAGCCAAAAACCGCAAGAAGTTGGCCATTTTTTTTTGTTGGTTTTAGCTTGGAAACAACGTTATGCACTTAGACGACAACAACGAGCCAATAGCCAAAAGAAATGTTGCCAAATCAGCCGCAGCGCCAAGCAGCAAGCAGCAATAACTTGGCTCTATTGAGGCGTGGCCGCAAGGCAAACAGAAAGGGCTCCCATAAAAAGCAAAGCTGTCCAGCGAGCAGCTCACCAGACAACGACAGCAAGGCGGGGCAGCAACAGCAGCACCAGCACCAGCAGCAGCTCAAAGTCTTAAAGAATAACGACTAGGCTGAAATGGTGGCCAGGCCAAGGAGGATACCCTGGCAACTGGCATGGCTGGGAGCGTTTGCGACACTCGCAGCGATGGCGGCATCAATGGCAATCCTGCCGTATACGCAGGACAATGCCATGGTGATAGCAGAGCCGCTGGGCATTGCGGATTTGAACGATTTCAACGCCCACTTGGATGACCTGCAGACAGCCGAATCCAAGAAGCATGAGGATGAGGAGCATGGCGAAGAGGATGAGTCCGAGTTTGGGGAGAAAAAGTACAGCGAGCATTTTAAGAAGCATGGGGAGAAGAGCAAAAAGGGTCACAAACATGGCGAAAAGTCCGAGAAGGGAGCGAAAGGACATCACGACAAGGAGGGCAAGAAGGGTGAGCATGGCGAGGCGCAGGGCCACGAAAAGAAACACAAACACTCAGAGAGTCATCACAAGAAAAAGAAAAAGGGCGAAAAAGGTGAAAAGGGTAGCGAGTTCGAGGATCATGGCAGCTACAAGAAGGGCCACTCCATTAAGGGTAAGCACAATGTGCACAAGCTGAACGAGGACAAAAAGGAAAAGAAATACTATGATGAGGATCATGTCGAGGGCGGCGAGGAGAAGCACGGCGGCTTCGAGGAGGGCAAGAAGCACAAAAAGGGCAGCAGCTATAAAAAGGGCGAGCACAAAAAGGGCGGCCACGAGGAGCACCATGGCAAAAAGGGTCACAGCAAAAAGGGACACAAGAAAAAGGGACACAAAGGCCACAAGAAGAAGCACGAAGAGGCCAAAAAATGGGGCCACAAAAAGGAGCACGGCAAGAAGGGCGGCGGGGAGCACAAGAAGAAGTGGCACAAGTCCGAAAAGAAGAGCAGCGAACACGATCATGGAGGACATCATTAAATCGATTACAATCATAATGCAAATTATGTTCAATTTTGATTTTTGATTTCATTTTCTTTTTATAAATAAAACATACAAACACACCCAGTACCAGTTTAAACTTATTATTGATTCATTCCAAATAGATTGAATTGAGTCGGTGTAATTAAGTTGTTCAAATGAGTTTTTGTGGGCAAGCACTCAAACAACTTGCTTTATAAATCTCAATCTAGATTTTTTCCTATTGCTAAAATCTGTGTTGATTTAAAAATCATTTAAAACACAATTTCAATTCAACTTGAAGTTAATGCAATAATTTATTATTGGCTTCTTTAAATCGCTAAAAGCGCTTAATTACTTTAAGATTATTAAATTTGGGTTGTGTATTTTTGAGAAAGCAAAACTTTAAACCTTAAAGCACTTTATTCTAATCTATAAATTTAGATATTTAATTAAGTGCAAATCGTCAATATTTAATGTCTATAAATTCATAATACTCATAAGTGACAGATTATACCTTCGGCTTAATAAACTGAAGCTTGTAGGACTGTCAAAGAAAAATATCAACAAATATTCATAAATAATAATAAAAATTGTTGACCCAATTAAAGTTCTTATACCGATCTTTAAGACATTTATTCTTCAATTTTAAATTTTAAATACATTTTCTCTCCACATGTGTGCTCTGTTAGTGTCGTTTGAATAAAATATTGATTAGAGAATGCATATGATAAATAATAATAAAATGCAATTTGGTGAGCTAGAAATGTGAATATGATTCGTTTTTCCAACTCAATGCCTGACTGCTCAGCCTTACGCTCTGCCAAAAATTGTGCCTTCAATTGAATTCAACTGTATTCAAAAGTTCAAAGCTCAATTGCCAGGACACTGGCGTTGACGTTTCGCAGTCGACGTCGACGTCGCAGTCGCAGTAGCAGTCGCTGTCGCAGTCAACGTTGCCACCTGCATTGTCCTAATTGCTAAAGGAGCCGGACAGACAAATGAAATATGATTGTATGCTTGGGTATATACGTATATACACACACACACACACACACGTACACACACTCTGGGCCGTGTCAAAGGTTAATTACGCATGCTGCAAGCTCGTTCGCTTCTCGGCTCGTCCCAGCTCGTCCCAGCTCGACCCAGCTCGTCTCCGTTTTCGATTCGAATCCGTCCTTGGCTGTGTCCGTAAATCGCTTAACGCACACTCACACACAGATTTATGCATGTCTGTGTGTGTATATGCATGTGTGTGTTTATGTTTGCTTAAGCCATTTCCGGTTCGATTTTACAGAGGACTCGCTTTGCTCGCTTTGGCCAAGGTAAAAGGACAAACATCATTGTTTGGTTCCATATGCTAATCCTACGAGCTGCGTCATAAATCATCCTTGTCCATGCGACACACAGACGTAGACAGCAACACAGATAGAAGGAGACAGCTCCAGATTGAGAAAGAGAAAGAGAGTGAGACAGTTTCTCAATCAGGGATCAAGGCGACGAGGTCTTTGCGGCCTAAAAGCTTCGCTTTTGTATTATTGCCGGCTGAGCAACGTTGCAATCTGCTGGGATTTTGTGGTGGCTGCAATGCCTACGAAAACAAAAGCAATAACAATGACATGAATATAACAAAAGCAACCAGCAAACCAGTAACCAACCAGATTCAGCATCAACTGCTCTCTCACAGCAAACAGGCTGGCAACAAAAGAAACAACAAAAGCTGCTTTGCCAGCCCAGCCATTGAAAGTTATTTGCTTATTTTTTCTTCATGCGACTCAGTGTTAGAGTGTGTGTGTGTATGTGTGTGTGTGTGTGTGTGTGTGTGTGTGTGTGTGTGTGTGTGTGTGTGTGTGTGTGTGTGTGTGTGTGTGGTGAGTGAGAACTGCAGCCAGACCAGGTGAGCAGTCAACAGTTCTTGCCCCCAACAACGCCCCACTCTAGTTGCTGTTATTGTTTTGAAATTACCTCCCTCCACAACAACAACAACAACAACAAAAACAACAACTGCAACAGCAACAGCAACAACAAACAATCCCACATGGCCAGTGGGCAAATGCATTAGCCAAAGTGCTTGGGGACAGAGAGACGCAGGCGGAGACGGAGGCATAGCTGGTGCACAGAAGCGAAGGTTATGGCTAAGTGCAACAGCTACAGCAACAGCAGCAACTGCAACAAGAGCAGCAGCAGCAAGGATTCCTCGCCTGGTATCAGCACTAAGAGATCATAATTCACATAACTCGGCTAATAATTCAGTTAAGTTCAAATGCGCTGTACACGAGTAGCAGCCAGCAGCAGCAGGAGTGGTGCTCTCACACATACACACACACACACACACACACTCACACACACACACTCACACACATATCTACTTTAACTCTGGTTTCTGGTTGCTGTTCAGTTCAGTTTCATTCGCTGCTTGTGGCTCACAGCAATTACCAATTGCAATTTAATTATTTTAATAAAAACTTTATTCGGTTATTCAAAAGCAATTTATTTGTTTAGAACACTAACCGCTTTTGTCGAATCAGAAAAATAAAATTGAAATCGTATAAATTATAACTGTACAGCAGCATTTTTATTATTTATAGAGTTTAAACATTACTATTTAGATTGACATTTGGCAATATTTCTTGTTTAATTTACTAATACTCTAAATTGTTCGAATTTCAATATTCCTCCAAGAAACATTGAAGGTGCTCTTTGGTACGTAATCAGCCTTTAAGTCCACAAAATTATTAGATCATCTAAAAAAGATACTTAAAACAATAAATTATCAAATATGTTATTATAAATAAATATATACAGTTATAGATATATAGATTTGAAATAGTTGCGCTATTGTTAGGTAAAATTAAGTAAAAAAAATAAAAAATAGAAATAAAAACAATTTTAGTTCAAACTAGAATTTCAGTGATTTTTAATCAGAATAAATAGAATTTCATAGCCTAATTTCATTTTGGTTATTCAATTTTGCATTTTTGTTCTTGAGATTGTTGAGCTGATAGCAGTTAAAAAATTAAAAAGTTCAGTTATGCAGTGTCTAAGAAGCCTGCTGCTAAACGTCCATTGGGGTTTCTTGCCCCCAAACCCACTTCAGGCTCTCCGTCCACCTTAAATCTTTGTCTCTCTCCTTCTGCACTCGTTTGTGGCTTGAGAGCGTTGCAGCAGTTTTAAAGAATTTTCTTGCAAATTAGTTTAATCCATTGTATGTGTGTGTGTGTGTGTGTGCAATGTGGATGGCAAAAGTTTATTGTTTTCGGGGCTAAAAGTTGCTGCAGCCTCTGATGATGCTGTTGTTTGCTGCAAGTTGTTGTTGCAAGTTGCTGTTGCTGCTTCTACTTTCCATGCTGTTGTTTGCGGTAGCTTGAGTGGATTTGGTCAAGCTGCAATGTGCATCACATGTTTGATGCTTTAATTTGTTGCATAATTGTTGAAGAAACATTTTAATTAACTTGTGTTAATTAAAGCGAATCCGAATCGAACTCTAAAAATGCAATCCAATGCGGCAAATGCAAATGAGTGAAGTTAAAAAATTGGTAGTCAACGCGAGACATTTAGCAATTAGCCCGGCTCGTAAATATGCCCAAAACGCGCCCGGATGCATCAATGAATGTGTCAATGATTAGGCAGCGAATACCCAGCGGGAAAGTGTCCGGAGAGTGGCCGGAGTATGTCCGGAGAGAGAGAGAAAGTCACCCTGTGCAGCTGGACAATGGCAAATAATGGCGCAAATGTAAATATTGCACTCAGGCAGGCTGCAGCAGTTGGCAGCTGTGGCGCCAGTGGCAGCTATGGCAGCAGTGACAGCAAACCCCAATGGACCAACAATAACAAGCTAATGCAACTGCAATATGCGTTGAAAGGGTGCAAGAAGGGGGTGGAGGGGACGCCGGGCTTGTAAAGAGCAGCATGGCGTGCTATAATCAAGCGAATGGATGCCAATGGTCACACACATGCATGAGCAGAGCTCGCCCATTGCAGTTAATTTATTGTGACCAATATAACGCCCCAGGATCAGAGCAGAGCAGCAAGGAGTAACAAGAAGTACAAGCATACACTGTTGCTGAGGGGAAGTGGGGCGGAGTGCTGATTCCAAGGGGCGGTGGAGGCATGTAAATTGAAAATTATGGCAATGCGCAACAAGATTAGCTCAGACAGGGTACATAACCCAAACCTCTAATATACGTTACTACTATCCTTGCATCTGTGTGTATCATACACACACACTCACACTCTCTCTCACACTCACACACAAATGAATTTATTGACGCTGCTTCCGCGTGGCGGAGCCAGCGTAAACTGAATGAACGAGTGACCGGGCAAAGTTATGACTTAATGTATTCAGTTATGGACAGTACTCTACATAAAACACAAGAATACAAGTAGAAATTACACATTTAATTCGTTTCTCCTTTTTTATGGCTAAAATACGAGTGACACATGCAACATTGTGGTCTAGTCGCAAAGTATACAAATAGACATTTTCTTTGGATTGTTTTACTTTAAAGTTGCTGCACCTCTTACTCAACTAAATACATTTAAAATTAAATAAAGACAGAGGAGTATATATTCCAAGTATCAAGTCTCAATATACTCTATTATCTGCAGTATCAGAGTATAAAACAAAGTCATCAAACAAAACCTCTTCAATTTTATATCCTGCATGCTCGACACAAATCAATACAGCTCAACTTTTATTTCCCGAGTTTTGCAAATTTGTTCTACTAAAGTAAGATATTAGAATAAGCTCGATTCAGATAGATTAAAAATTAATTGTAATTAAATTAATTAATTTAATTCCTGATATTGTTATGTTCTAAGTGATTCATAACCCATAGCCCTAAAAATATACAAGAGTTATTCACACAGTTTTCGCTATAAACGTGATTTATTTTATTATGCTTAGGTTTCGTCAAGTCTTAAATAGAAAATGGAAAGTGATTGAAGTGCAAAGGTCTGGCTAAAAGTGCACAGATATACCTGATAAGTCGGCCATATATCAGCTGCCTGTTAGTCAGTTTTGTAAGCACTCGAAAGTTTTCTCTACAGTTGCCACTCTGGAATATTTTTTCGCGCTGCTGCGTCGCTTTGACACAGAGTCCAACACTCATCCCCGACGGGCAACACGAAGGATAGACAGACAGACAGACGGAGAGAGATGTGGCCAAGTACTCATTGCGACTCATTGACGCAGCGCACTCAGAGCCAAGCCAAGTCAAGCCAAGACAGGCCAGGCTAGGAATGATGGCAGCCAAGTGCAGCCAAGCTTTCAGCTGGCGTCTTATTATGCAAATGCCCCAAAACTGAGCAGCTATCGAGCCAAAGCCAAAGCAATATTCAGCTATCGAGCTATCTTTTAGCTGCATGCCAACGTCATCGATTTATAAGTTATGCAAGAGTCGGAATTTCACAATCTCACCATCTTTTCGTATCTGTTGGCTGCTGACTACTTTGTAAGCAATGGCTTTTACTACCAGTACTTGCCCCACACACCACCACCCCTCCCGTTACAGTTGCCCTACCCGCAACGAACCCATCCGACTGCAATCAGCAGTTTTTAGCCAAATCAATCTCTTGGCCCCGGTTTGCTCAGCTTCCCAATTAGAATGTTGTTGGTTTTTTTTTATTTACTGCTACTGCTGATTGGTTGCACACAAACAAAAAGAAAAAAACTACAGCACAACGGTGCATGCAACAAACAAACAAGAAATAACAACAATGCATTGTTGCATGCATATCTTTTTACAATGCGATTTTTAATCAAAGTTTTTGCTTTCGACGCAGAAACAAAAAAACAAAAAAAAAAACAACAAAAAAAACTTTCATAGATTTCACGCAAAGGAGAACAATAAAGAATGCTCGATTCGAGACCGGTCGAATATAAAATACTCCGTGTCTAGAATAATTATGAATAGCACCGATTTTAATTGAATTCATTATTGGGAAAACCATAATCCAATATTTAACTCCAAAAAAGCTTAAGAATTCGATCTCTTTTCAAAGTTAAGTTAAATTCAAATTAAATATATACTTACATTTAGTTATAAATATATAGCATAAGTTTTGATCACTTAAAATAAAATAATTTAAATCAAACTTCAACTCTTGGTTACGAACATCTGTTTTCACCCCTCCCCTCACAAACCATACGGTAACACTGTTGTCTGGCAACTCTGTTTGCTTAAGTAAGCGCTGCGGTTCGATTTCAAAAGCTCTTTTTCACAACGATAACAGGCAGAAGCAACAGCAGCCAGCAGCAGCAGCAGTTCACAACTCGTACACATAGCATAGCTGACAACTGTAAAGCTTTACACGAAAGCTCAATCGTATGTGCTTGTGCTTTGTACTGTGATCATTGTGATCGACTTCCATTCCGACGCATTGGAACAACTTTTCGAACTACGAGCAACAAGTTGGCCAGCGCTGCTGCTCAGTCGGTTTTAGTTCTGTTGGAGTAAAGCAGCAGCAACGTTCAACGCAAGTGGAACGCCAAAATAGAAAAGTAAGCACAAGCAAACAATTACAAAATAAGAGCACAGAAAAATTAATATAAAAGCAGTTAACCATTTTTTTCGCTACTTATAAAACCGACAAAACTGTAGGTTTCTATACTAATTAAAAAAACTAACAACTGCAAGCGGCAAAAAAAAAAGTGATAAAAAAGCTTAATGCAAATTACATGCGTGTTAGATAATAAATGCAATCAAGCACAATACAAATAAAAGAAAAATAAATAAACACACGAATAGCAAAAATGCAACGCAAAAAGTGTGCATAACTTAAAAAAAAATTTACAAAAAAAAAGTGGGTTGTTGTGTGGAAAAATAATTGGATAGTCAGCTGACCTTCCCACTGCTGGTCTTGTGATCCATATGACCGGATTCATATTGGAGAGTAGTTGGAGTAACACACCTCATTTATTTTGTGGGGGACAACTCCCAATTTAAATGCAGTGGCTAAAATTCAATATGGTGGCTCGGCTACAGTCGCGCTTGTGGCTCCGTTTTGCATTTTTCCATTTGTCAGCTGACAGCATGACAGCAGTCTTGTGATCAACGTCAAAAGCCAATTGTCAGAAATTCGAACTCGAATGCGAGAGAGCCGCAGAGCGTGTTTTGAGTGTCAGAGAGAGGAGGCAACTCGCTCTTTCACTCTCCGCTATCCGCTCAGTCTGGAACTCTCACCGCTAGATAACACATCTGGAATCGCCCGTATTTTTTTCGTAAATCATAAACGTAGTTAAAAAAGAAAAGAACTACAGCGGCAAACTAAACACTTATTTTCTTTTCAATTTTAATTCGCTTGTAAGTTCTCTCTTCGATAGTTAAAAGTTATCAGTATCGTGGATGTAGATTTTCGAACTTGCTTAAAGCTTTGTCACGTGAAAGAAAAGCTCTGCGTACAAGCTTGTCAACTATTCACTAAGCATAATAATAGTGTAAAGCGGGGGAGTTTCGTCAATACGTTGCTTAAAATCAATTATTTGCCAACATATAAACTTTAAAAAAAACTGCTTAAGTACGCCACATGAGAACAGTTTCAATCCGCTAAAGTAAATGCTGCTTGTGGCCAACATGCGCTCTTCGGTGTGTCAGCTGACAACGATAAGAAAATTTTCATCACGCTGCATTTTGTGCAAACACGAAAAGTGCTGATCGACTGGATAAAAGAGTTGCCAGATGTGCATGCAATATAAAAAAGAACAAAAAAAAAACTAAAACTGTAGAAGTTATTAATATTTTTGTAAATGAGTTAAAAAAGAAGAAGAAACATTTATCTCTATTCACCACTAATATAAAGACAAGTTATGATATTTAGACATCTCTATTAGACTAACATCTCTTCCAATGCTTACAGGGCATTTAAATCTATTGTTAAGCTATAGCTCAATTCAATTTTCTTTCTTTTCAGTTGTAGATTCCAAGTAAAGCAACATGTCCAACTTAAAGCGTTTCGATGACGAGGAGCAGGAGTCCAAATATGGACGCGTCTTCGCCGTCTCTGGTCCTGGTGAGTAAAAAGAAAAAGATAAAGTTCTGTTGACTAAACTAACGAAATTCCTTTCCTCAGTCGTTACGGCGGAGTGCATGTCCGGCTCTGCTATGTACGAGCTGGTGCGTGTGGGCTACTATGAGCTGGTGGGTGAGATTATCCGTCTAGAGGGTGACATGGCCACCATTCAGGTGTACGAGGAAACCTCGGGCGTCACAGTCGGTGATCCCGTCCTGCGCACGGGCAAGCCGTTGTCGGTCGAACTGGGTCCCGGTATTATGGGAAGCATTTTTGATGGTATCCAGCGTCCGTTGAAGGACATCAACGAACTGACCGAGTCCATTTATATACCCAAGGGTGTCAATGTGCCATCTCTGTCACGTGTGGCCAGCTGGGAATTCAATCCGCTAAACGTAAAGGTCGGCTCCCACATCACCGGCGGAGATCTGTACGGTCTCGTGCACGAGAACACACTGGTCAAGCACAAGATGATCGTCTACCCACGTGCCAAGGGCACAGTGCGCTATATTGCCCCCTCAGGCAACTACAAAGTGGACGATGTTGTGCTGGAGACAGAATTCGATGGCGAGATCACCAAGCACACCATGTTGCAAGTGTGGCCGGTGCGTCAGCCACGTCCCGTTACCGAGAAGCTGCCCGCCAATCATCCCCTGCTTACCGGACAGCGTGTCCTCGACTCCCTCTTCCCCTGCGTCCAGGGCGGCACCACAGCCATTCCCGGTGCCTTCGGTTGCGGCAAGACTGTCATCTCCCAGGTAAGATGAATCATCTGTGCCACTACTAGAAACTTATTTCACCTAAATTCCATTTAAAGGCTTTGTCCAAGTACTCCAATTCGGATGTCATCATCTATGTCGGTTGCGGTGAGCGCGGTAATGAGATGTCTGAGGTATTGCGTGATTTCCCCGAACTGTCTGTTGAAATCGATGGCGTAACGGAATCCATCATGAAGCGTACGGCTCTGGTGGCCAACACCTCCAACATGCCTGTCGCTGCTCGTGAGGCTTCCATTTACACTGGCATCACGCTCTCAGAATACTTCCGTGACATGGGTTACAACGTCTCCATGATGGCTGATTCCACCTCCCGTTGGGCTGAGGCTCTGCGTGAGATCTCCGGTCGTCTCGCTGAAATGCCTGCCGATTCCGGTTATCCGGCTTATCTGGGTGCACGTCTCGCCTCCTTCTACGAGCGTGCCGGTCGCATCAAGTGTTTGGGTAATCCCGAGCGTGAGGGTTCCGTGTCCATTGTGGGTGCTGTCTCACCACCCGGTGGTGATTTCTCCGATCCCGTTACGTCCGCTACTCTGGGTATTGTGCAGGTGTTCTGGGGTCTGGACAAGAAGTTGGCCCAGCGCAAACATTTCCCCTCCATCAACTGGCTCATCTCGTACTCGAAGTATATGCGTGCCCTGGACGATTTCTATGACAAGAACTTCGCCGAATTTGTGCCACTGCGTACCAAGGTCAAGGAAATTCTGCAAGAGGAAGAGGATCTATCCGAAATTGTGCAACTTGTGGGCAAGGCATCGTTGGCGGAGACCGACAAGATCACCCTCGAGGTGGCCAAGCTGCTCAAGGATGATTTCCTGCAGCAGAACTCGTATTCGTCCTATGATCGTTTCTGCCCCTTCTACAAGACCGTCGGCATGCTGAAGAACATCATCGATTTCTACGATATGGCCCGTCACTCTGTCGAATCGACAGCCCAATCCGAGAACAAGATCACCTGGAACGTCATCCGTGAGGCTATGGGCAATATTATGTACCAGTTGTCCTCCATGAAATTCAAGGTGCGTTAAGAAACTGAACTGACAATGAAATGATGATGTTAATCAACTAATTTTATTTTAGGATCCCGTCAAGGATGGTGAGGCCAAGATCAAGGCTGACTTCGAGCAGCTGCATGAGGATTTGCAGCAGGCCTTCAGAAATCTGGAGGATTAGAGCACGTTGTCCGTACTTTTACACCCTAATCTAATATTGTTATGTAGTTAACTTTTACAAATTGCAACAGAAAACAATTCCGTGCAACAACAGCAGCAATCGCAACAAAAGATTCCAAGCGTCCAGAAAAAAAAAATCTATTGTTAACATTCCTTGTTTAAAAAGTCAGAGATATGAAAACATTCCAGCCTGCGGTTGCTACTTCCCCACTCTACTTGCAACAACAACAGCCACAGCAACTAACTAACGTCCTTCTATGTACTTCCATTGCCAATACATACACAGAGACACACACACGCATACACACACATACACACACACACGCAGTTACAAATGCATGCATAGTATTATTGTTTAATGAATGGAAATTCTTTTGTTTATTTGTGAAAAAAGTCATGTTTTCTCTTTGTTTGTTTGTTTTTAAACTTATGTAAATATTTAAAGTATGAAATATTAAATGTACGAATAAAGTGCAAACAACAAATACATTTAATGTAATTGAAAGCAGACCTATCTACCTCTCTCTCTCACTCTCACTCTATTCCTTTCTCTCTGTTTATATAGTGCCCTCTTATGGCATGTGTGGAATGAAAAATTAATTCCAGTGATGTAATTCCAAATAATTATACTCCTCCTTTTTTTGTATTCTCCTTTAAATCTGTTTTGAGCGCGCAACACATCAATTTTTTACAATTTAATTTTCTTTCTCTGTACCCTTTTGCCACAACAACAACAATTATTTTATACTAATGGGAACCAAAAGCAACAACAAAGAAATATTCACAGTGCAGATCATGTTCTCTTTACTTCTTTTATAACCTGGAAAAGCAACCAAAATTTTAAATTTGGTTGCTGTCCGCAGTGTTTGGACAAAAAGTAATATATTTTTTTTGCTGTTAGCGATTTTTTTTTACTTCCTTACATAATCTTATGTGTTACAATTACAATTTGAATACTCAAAAGTTGTAATTTTCAGTCACTTTCTGAAGTCTATGAAACAATAGTCAGTAATATAATATAAAATTCTGCAAAGTTAAGTTTGTTTATACTAAATTGTTCGTTTTATTTATCAAATGGATAAGCGATGTCAGTGTGGAAGGAAGCAGGTGCCAAGAAAAGTGGATTGCACTACGAATACCTCATTTATCGATAAGAATGATGAGATCGATGAAAAGGATGAGATCGATGAGAAGGATGAGATCGATAAGAAGGATGAGATCGATAAGAAGGATGAAATCGCTGAGAAGGATGAGATCGATGAGAAGGATGAGATTGATGAGGGTGAGATCGATGAGAAGAATGAGATCGATAAGAAGGTTGAGATCGATAAGGGTGAGATCGATAAGACCGATGTCTCGCGAGAAATGGTTGTAAAGAATAATGAAAGTGCCGCTAAAAACACGATGTCTAGGAATTCTGTACAGAAATCGAGAAGTAATGCAAAACCTGTATTCGATGTTCGAATGACTCAAGTCAGGCGAATCTCCGATCTGGAAAACTATCAGAGGGGACGCGTCTTTGGCGTCTCCGGTCCCGTTGTAAATGCCGAGAAGATGGCCGGGTCCGCAATGTACGAACTGGTCCGGGTTGGACATTTTCGTCTTGTTGGAGAGATAATTAGATTGGAGGGCGATATGGCCACCGTTCAGGTGTATGAGGACACCTCTGGCGTGAGTGTTGGCGATCCCGTCTACCAGACCGGCAAGCCACTGTCCGTCGAACTGGGTCCCGGCATTATGGGCAGCATTTTTGATGGCATTCAACGTCCGTTGCGCGTCATCAACAAGCTGACCAATTCCATCTATGTGCCCAAGGGCATCGATGTGAACTGCTTATCACGCAGTGCTCAATACTCTTTCCAGCCGTCTACGCTCAAGGTCGACAATCTGATCTCGGGTGGTGACATTTACGGCACTGTGCATGAGAATAGCATGATGGAGCACCGCCTGATGCTGTCACCTCGTGATCAGGGCAGAATCACCTGGGTGGCGCCTCCCGGCAACTATAGCATACAAGATGTGATCATTGAAACCGAATTCGACGACAAAATCAGCCAGCACACAATGCTACAGGTGTGGCCGGTGCGACGATGTCGTCCAGTTGTCGAAAAGTTACCTGGTGTCAATCCTCTGCTAACTGGACAACGTATTCTCGATGCCTTCTTCCCCTGTGTCCAGGGCGGCACCACAGCAATTCCGGGTGCCTTTGGCTGCGGCAAGACTGTCATCTCCCAGGTACGTAAAAAAATGAAAAAAAAAAAACAAAATTCGAAATAAAATATATTCACTGACAAGAAACAGCAAACAAAAAACAGATTTTTTTAAATTTACAAAGTATTTCTGAAGTATGCAAAGTTGTTTACAAATGCATTTTTCTGTTATTAATACTTTTAAATCATTTTAATCCATCTTTTATCGATATTTTGAATTTTTGTTAGTATTTAAAATTTGTTTGCCAGAATTTTCAGTACATTTTTGCATTTTAAATATAAAATAATAAGAATAAAATACTAGATTTAAAATTAAAAGAAGAGTTGCATATCAAATAATATACAACTAAAAGTGAATGCTTAAAATAAAATGTTAAATTTAAAAAATTAAAAGATAAAACCTATTTAATAACTGTTTAGATATTAAGATATAAAATAATTCAACATTTATTGCACGGATTGAGGAAACCCAGCTAAAAACTCAATCAAACCAATCTAAGGTATCTAAGTTTGCCTTCCTCACACAGGCTCTGTCCAAGTACTCCAACTCGGATGTCATTGTGTATGTCGGCTGTGGCGAGCGTGGCAATGAGATGTCCGAAGTATTGCGTGATTTCCCCGAGCTGACCGTGGACGTCAATGGTGTCCCGGAGTCTATAATGAAGCGTACGGCTCTGGTGGCCAACACTTCAAACATGCCTGTCGCTGCTCGTGAGGCATCCATTTACACGGGCATCACGATGTCCGAATATTTCCGTGACATGGGTTACAACGTCTCCATGATGGCTGATTCCACCTCCCGTTGGGCTGAGGCACTGCGTGAGATCTCCGGTCGCTTGGCCGAGATGCCAGCTGATGCTGGTTATCCAGCCTATTTGGGTGCACGTCTCGCCTCGTTTTATGAACGTGCCGGTCACGTAACATGCTTGGGCAGTCCGGAGCGAGAGGGTTCGGTGTCGATTGTGGGCGCTGTTTCACCACCAGGTGGCGACTTCTCCGATCCGGTTACCTCGGCCACGTTGAACATTGTGCAGGTATTCTGGGGTCTGGATAAGAAGCTGGCGCAGCGCAAACATTTTCCCTCAGTCAACTGGTTGCAGTCATATTCGAAGTATATCCGAGCCCTCGATACCTACTATGAGACCGAAAGTCCGGAGTTTGTTGAGTTGCGGGCAACGGCCAAGCAAATATTACAGGAGGAGGATGATTTGGCCGAAATTGTGCAGCTGGTGGGCAAAACGTCGCTCAATGAGTCGGACAAGATAACGTTGGAGGTTGCCCGCATCCTTAAGGATGATTTCCTGCAGCAGAACTCGTACAGTCAATACGACTGCTACTGTCCCTTCTACAAGACGGTGGGCATGCTGAAAAATATGATTACCTTTTACAATCACGCCATTATGGCGGTGGAACAAACAAGCGGTCAGGAGGCACACGTCACTTGGGGTCTGATACGTGAACGGGCGACAGATGTCCTCTACGAGCTGGGCACCATGAAGTTCCTCAATCCCAAAGATGGCCAAGAGGTCTTGGAAAGGGAATTTGAGAAGCTTCATGAGAAAATAATCAGCACTTTAAGCGACTTAGCAGAGAATGTAGCCGCCTATATTTAGTTTATCATCGACTGCTGTACAAAATTATTTTAAGTTACCGAACGATACATGTATATTGAAAATTATATATATATATTATATCTGCTTAATTTGAACTTCGTAAAACGTTAAGGTCAATTAAGATTGATTGATTATCTCTGAGAATTTTCCTCTTGATGAAAACTGAAAACAAGATCAAACAAAGTCTCCATATCGACACTGATTTTGGTTGGCGCCTGCTCATTAAAATTAGTTGGATTTGCCCCATTGCCCCATCAAGCATTATCAGCTTAAACCGCACTTTGGCCTTTGCATGCTGCGTCTTACTACCACCATTTGCCACTAGCATAAAAGTCAGGAGCAGTTAATCCTTTTTGCCATGTTTGCGTTTCACGCTTTTTGCGAGGGAGTTTTCGATAATTTTCGCAACGGCAACCAAGTGTCGACAAAAATTCGTTGATTTATACGAAAAGTTTATTAGCAAGCGATGGCAACTGCGCCATCCCATCCAAAAAAAAAACACAATTCACCCCACAAACGTTGAATCCCCAAGCGCTCAAAAATGCAGAGATCGATTTCGATTCAATTAGTGGAAATTAAATGTATGTATATATGTATGTATCCCGACTCACACACACACACACACACACACACACACACATATGCATCTGTGTTTGTACGTCTGACTTTGCCGATAAGCGCACAGAGCAGCGGGCGTGGGAAGGGGGCTTGCTAAGAGGCATTGCGATGATTACATTTCCGCATTCGACGCTCGGCACCGCAGCCAAGTAACCAAGTCAGCCATAAAATGAGCACAGAGAAAATAAAAAATAAAAAAACGTCAAGCTAAAAAAAAAAAAGAAGAGAAGAGAAGCAAGCCAAAAATCAGTTCAATTGCAAATTGAAAATCCCCTTACAACTTCCGTTTCCGCTAGGCGAGCTCAACGCAGGCGAGAGAGAGAGAGAGAAAGGGAGAAAAGCTATAGCTAGGGCCTTGACTGGAGACAGTGCATGAGTTGTAGAATAGAGCGGGGGAGATTGAGAGAGTGAGAGAGCCAGAGATATGCACATGTTTGGATACACAGTGGAAAATAAATGCACTGGAATATATATGAATATTTAATGCCATTGCCAATAACATTTAGTTTTAATACCATTGATATTGCCAGATGCAAAAAATAAACTAAATTCAATTACCAATTCCATTCCCCCAAATATATATTCATATAAAGTTTCAACACTAAATGGACGCTGTAAGTCTCTCCCTGAAAACAAATCCGGACGGGTTTCAAAATATATAAAAGTATACAAAAAATATAAAAATCCAAACACCTAACAAAATGGTAAGAAGACTTCGTCAATAAACATTGTTTTTTAAAGCATTATTATGGTTTTTAAATTGTTTGAGGCCCACTTGATGAATATTTAATTGTAAAACCCAAAATGTTAGTCAATTCTTAAATGTAAACCTACAATTTGGAGCTGTGTGGTTTTGAGCCCGCTCAGTTTCCATGACAGACAGTGGCGTATCAGCAATGCGCACTAATTGGCCGACGTTGCGATGCCGTTTGCCATTCCGTTCCGTTCGTTCTGATAGTGGCATCAGGCATCTCGTAAGCAACCAGCCCACACTCAGCCACTATACACTACTACAGGCTGGGTTGGTCTTGCAGAGCGTTATTGCATAATTTGAAGGGGTTAAGCCATTGAGCTTTAATGCAAAAATTTCAATTGAACGTCAAACAGTCAATTCGCTTTAGCGGCGATAATCGTAAAAGGATAATGGCGCTAAAAGCGCATAAAAAGCCAGCAAGCAGCCAAAGCCAAGCAATGGAAAACTCCAGTGGCTCATATATATATGGCTCATATATATACATATGTATGTGTGCTTGCTTGGAGTCTGTGTTGAGCGCTGCTTGGCATAAGTGTGTACTCAATTAAAGGATTTTTGGGGGCACAGGCTAACGGCCGTTGATGTTGCTCCCTCAAGTTGCTACCCTACAGCCCATTGTCATCACACACACACACACACACATCTCTCTCGGGTTTAAGCGGCTTTAAAAACGAATGGCCAAGCAAATAAACGAAATAAATATGAATGTCATAGCAAAAAGAAAATCAATTCGTAGTTATCCTGATTTCAGTTTATACCCTGTTTAGATATAGAATATATCTCTGTATATGTTTGTGCAAATCTGCTTGAATTTCACATTTGATATTCTATTTGCTCTCTAGCGATATACACATATACCATGTGCAATACAAGACTTCTACCACATAAAACTTCTAAATGTGTATTAGTAGAAATGTTAGTAGAAGTATCTGGTTACGGACTAAATACAAAAAGTCTTTTAGTGTTTAAAGACAAATAAAAACCAAAAATAATAAAATACAACCTTACACAACCAATAATAAATTAACAAGGACAACATTTTACTTTGTGATACAATAATTGGCTGTTTAATAAGTCACCATCTGTTTCAGGACTTCTTGCTTTGTGTTGCAACAAGTATTCATTCATATTTTTTGATTAAAGACCAACTAAAAACCAAAATAAATTCAAATCAAATATGAGATTAACATTCAACTAATTGACTTCACATATAAAATATGAGATAATTATGCATTCTAATGACGGTTTTTACACGCATATCAAGAAGACAATAATATTTTTCATATTTGCAAAGCAACGGCATTTATATGTATATGAGTGTAAACCAAATACAAATGGCAAGCAGTCACATATATGACACTCAAGGATATGTCGCTCTGCTCGTTACTGAGCTCATATTTTTGTTGTTATTGTTGCTGTTGTTGTTTTTGTTTTTGCTGTAGCCAAGAGGCCAAAAAGGATATTATCAGAAGCTGGGAAAGACAAGGACGTTGGAGTCCTTAGTGACGATGGGTGGCGGCAACTTAATTTGCAACTTATACGTAAAATCCTTTTGATTTTGTTATTTTTGAGCAGGCGCTGCGAGGTCCTTGCCCCTTGTGTATGCCTGCTCCTGTTCTTGCTGTTCTTGTTGTTGTTATTGTTGTTGTTGCTATTGTTATGCTTGATGACGATATGTCCTTTTGCGCAGATTTACAACGCCTGCAGTTATTTGCCAAAGTTAAGCAAACCTTTTTCTACACTTGCAGAGGATATTTCAAATTTGTGGAGGCATGTGTAACTCATTGAAGGAGCCGTCTACCAAGCCATAGAATATATATATATATATATATATATACATTTCTGATTAGCATCATAATAGAGTTGTATATATTATAGACTCACTGAATATGATTTTGATTCTAACAATTGTACAAAGCATACTTAACATCTGGCAGAATCGGTAGGATTTTTACATTTATAATGAATCATAGATGCAAATGCACACTGGTCTGTAAGAGTATTTAAGCTGCGGCTTGCTTAGCATATCCATTGTTTGATGCCTTTGTTTTTTTTGGTTTTTTGGCCGCTTCTTATTCGCTTGGCACTCCTAAGTTGTGCATGCGAAAAGGGTCCTGTCGCTCAGTGTCCTTTTTTGGCCACTGTTAACGTACTGTTGTTGTTATTGTTGTTTGATATGCTTCTGATTAAGGGAATTTAAATTAAGCCTATGCAAATGCGCCTCAAGCTGTTTTGCTGCTGTTGCTGTTGCTGTTGCTGTTTAGTATTTGGCTTTTTTGTTGCAGCACGTGTATCCTATTTCAAGTACACCCTGTTCAGCCCACCACTTCTCACTTAGTATTGAAGCCGCATTATCACTTGCCACGCCTTCTTTTACATACACATGTAGGTGTGTGTGTGTGTGTGTTTGTGTGTGTGCGTTCTCTATGCTATGTAAAAGTTTTGTCATAAAAATTTGCAAACAGTTACTTTGGCGGCGTTGTCGTCAGCCAGACTGACTGAGAGGACAGGTCCATCGCTCAGAGACGCTGCTTCATTTCGAGTCCTTGCTACGCAGTTAATGAAATTGTTGTGCACCCCTATGTATATATATATATATATATATATATATATATGTATATATTTATTTTAGGAAAAAAGAAAAGTTTCGGTCTGTTCATCAGGCAAGGCGAACATTTTAAATACAAAAGGATATGCGTGGGCAGACGTTAAAGCTTTACAGTCCTCTGCTCGCGGTCTGTCCTCGATCCTTGGTCTACGACAGCTACAGTGACATTGACGAAACGCTCCAAATTTACTGCGTTCTTTTCATCCACCGGCGTTGCCCACCACCACGTCAAAGTCACTCCCGGCACATGTTTCTATTTTGTATACCTTGCAGTGGGTATTATGTATTCTTATATAAAGTGTGTAACGATTTCTAGGAGACATCTTAGAAAAATTGTAGAAAAAGTGCCCTACTTTTGAAGCTTATTATTCACAAAGTATATTTCTAAGACAGAAACAGGGTTATTCTTTTCTTAATTCTGGTTTTCAGGCTGTCTTTCTTTTTTTGAGTGTAGGCATTTTATATATATGACAATATATATATGTGAGTTTAACAAATTTGTAATACAGATTATTTTTAGGGTATTTGAATTTCGGCAACCTGAAGCTAAATGTTCTCCCTCTACGTTTTTTTAACTTTGCGGTTTGCTTCTTCTGTGCTGTACTTCAATTCTCGGTGCCTGTCTCTTTGGTCGTCCTGCCATTGTTGTGCTTACTTATCCCTGTCGAAAAATTGCCGAAACTTGCTGGAGCGCGTCCTTGTTGCGGCAAGGGGACGGTATTTGGAGGTTGGAGGAGGTTGGCAAGTAGATGTTGCCGTAGCAGTAGTAACGGCACTCCCAGCAGCCACTGCATTTAGTCAAAAGTGATTGAAAAGGCATTTTGTTATAATGCCAACTTAATGACAACGAAATTACAGCAAAAGCCACGCCAGGCAACATCAACAACAGCAGCGGCAACAGTAACAACAACAACAATAACATCTTGCAACTCAGGCGACTCCCAAGCTAAATGAGTTTGAAATACTTTGAGACAAGCCAAAGTTGTTACGACAACGCACACACACAGCCATATATACATACATATATACATACATATATACATATATATATTTGTATATGTAAAAACA